CCACTCCCCCTGCTTGTGTTCCCTCTCTCACTGTGTCTCTCTGTCAAATAAATAAATAAAATCTTTAAAAAAAAACCAAAAACACTAATGATGTAATGTACGGTGATTAACATAATTAAAAAAAAGCAAATTTCTTCAATAATATCAACTGAAAAAAAAAAAAAAAAGGAAGGCCTTGGATCTTCCCCAGTGCTCTGTGCAGTTTGGGCACATTCTTTATGTTTTAAGAGAAGAATCTCTCATAACTAAGTATACTGTGACATTTTGGGATTCTGATATAATTTTCCTAATAAGGATGTTCTTCATAGGAAGTGAAGTGTGTTGGATAAATAACATGCTCAAAAATATCTGATGCAATAAGTTACTATAACTACCTGATGCAGGGCTGAATTATTAGTAAATACATAGAAAAAATAGTAATTCCCCTTTTCATGACTCTAATAAAGCACACTTTGTTGTAAGTAAGTATCAGCTGGGGAACCTGTTTAAAGTGTACATGCTCCAGACCCCCTCTTCAGAGATACTAATTTAGTACATCTGGGGTAAGGTCCATGAATACATATTTCAAAATAAGTGCCCTCTGGTAATTCTGATGGAGACAGCCTATGAGTGATGTTTTCAGAAATATTCTACTACCAAGATATTTGGGGAAAAATGACACAGTGTTCTGGCTTTCTGATTAGTTACAATAAACTTATGTAGATATAGACCTTATTCTATTAAAAGAATCAAGAGGCTGTCTTTAAATGTGTAATATTTATGAGAAAGACCAGTTTTCTAAGCAAGCTTTAAAAATATTAAAAGTCACTGGGGTGCCTGGGTGGCTCAGTTGGTTAACATCTGACTCTTGATTTTGGCTCAGGTCGTGGTCTCACGGTCATGGGATTGAGCCCTGTGTCAGGCTCCCTGCTCAGTTGGGAGTCCGCTTGAGACTCTCTCCCTCTCCCTCTGCCCCTCCTCCTGCTCTCTCCGTTGCTTGCTCTCTCTCTCAAATAAATAAATTCTTTAAAAAATTATTAAAAGTCAGAACACCACAGAATGCCCTCCATTTAAAATTATTCATGGACTATATATTTTATATTTCTTTGTATAAAGAGTACTTTTGTCCAGGTCTAGATACACATAGTTTATTTGTAGTAATTTTTAAAGAATGAATACCTATTCAGAAATTATTTTGATATGACTTTTCCCCGTAATTTACCCCAGTATCCTAAGATAAATCATAATAAAAACATAAAAAGGGGGACAAAACTGGATCAAAGGCTTTTAAGAAATTTTAAGCAGAAGAGTATTCTAATACTTATAGCACTATCATAATATTGATACCTACACAAAAACAAAAGCATTGAAATAACTAACTAACCCAGAATCATTTGGCATCAGAAAGTGAAATGAACATCTCCTGGAAGGGTAATACTCATCCACTAGCAAGGCTGTTGAACAGCACGTTTTCTACCGAATGTGTAAGCTTCCATTGGTCATTATGGTAAACTGGGACCCTATTAAGTCAGTTAAAAACCAGAACTGCATCTATATATGTACACGTAAAAGAGGAGACCTGTGACAAGAAAGTAGGCCTTTTCCCTCCTAAACCACCGTAATATCTACATCATCACTTTAATTGGCCACATAACAAGGAACTCAGGTGTCTACATGATGGAAGATCTCCTTCATGCTAGAGCAATGACTGCATGGTTTTAGCAGTGTGCACAGCTGGGGTGTTGGCGGTTTTGGCTGAAAAGAAAACAAGGCAGGAAAGAAAAGTGCCGCCGGGTTGCTCATAAAAAGCAGTCCCTGAAATCTCTGGGTACTGTCCTCCCAGGTAATTGTCTTAATCCTTTCTCTTTAACAGCCAGGGATGGGCTCTGGAAATCCTGGGAGCAGAGCACCTACACTGAGAGGTGAAACATGACATTGGCTAGAAGAGTTCAGGAAAGTTCCTGGATTCTGGGGATGCAAGTTGATTTCACATTATGGTTAAAACGACAAGGAACCACTCTGTCAGCAATAATGCTGTGGTAGCTAAGATGCGCTAGGCACCTTATTATCTGTGTCAGGAAGAGTTTTAAATGCTTTATGTGTATAAATGTGTTCAGTGCTCTTCATAACCCTATGAAGTAGGGACTAGAATGAATTGCTTTTTACTAATGAGAAAATGGAAACTTGCCTAAAGTCAGAAAATTCAAACCCAAGCAGTATGGTTCTAGATCTGCAATGCCTTAAAAACCTTCAGAACTGATGAGAAAGTGTCTCTTGGAATACAACAAATAAAGGGACTAGACTACTAGAAAAAATGTTTTCCTCAGCTCTCAAAAGCCAAATCCCAAATTTAAGAAGACCTGAAATTCTATTTAAAAAATAGACCTCTTAAAAGGTAGCAATATACAGAGGCCCCGTTCAAAAGGAAGGGTAGGTATCTATTTAAAAATGTTTAAAGCAGCTATTACCTCTCCTTAGGGTTGAACTGCACCTCAGGAATCAGCAAACCCAATTTCTAGCCAACTGTAGGAATTTATTTTTTGGTACAACACTACCTGATGGTCATCTACCCTTTTGTTGAGAGTTTACCATCCTAATGAGGCAGCCCAATTCACTGTTGGATAGTTCTGATTATTAAGGCTATATTTCCCATATTAAGTAAAAATAATGCCCTCATGACATCTACCATCTGCTAGAATTAGGTATCTACTGGGTAACCCTTTAGTCTTTTTTTCCAGACAAAACACTTCTGGTTTCTTCAACAAGTGTATGAATGAATGGTTTTTAGCCTCCTTGTCCCTCCCCTTTCCTCACTTACCCTCCTGCTTCCCTGTGTACCTTGGCTGTTGAAATTACCTTTGCCTCTTAATCAGACAATCTCTGCTCACCTTCCCCTCAGTTCAACTTATATTATCAGACTCAAGTCCGTCCACTGCTTAGGCAAGAACAGAGGGTGGAAGCATTCCACGCTTCCTTCTGGAAGAAGGGGTGGGAGAGACTCTGTGTTCCAAATAACTGAGTTTGGAACTCAGAATGTATTTTCTCATTAAAATCTGGGACAAGTGCCGGAAGCAGTGCTATTAGATCAATGTCTTAAGGTATAATTTGGTGAAAATAGAATTTAGTTCATGCCAGCCTGGAAACGTTACATTTATTGGAAAAATGAATTCTTACTTGAATTAAACTTATAAAGGAGCTATCAGAAGACAGCTAATTGATAATTAGGAATCTGTAGATATGAAAAAGATAAGAAAATGATATGGTGAACATGTGAAGACAATGGCAAAGGTGGGTCTCATTCTGTCAAGTGAAACAGAAATAAATAATGAAATGTCAGAATTTAAAGACAAAAGATACTTGAAAGTGGGAAAAGTTTTGTCTTATTTAGCTATTATAGAAAACACACTTCACCAACCAGAATTTACCTTGAATTTGAGCCTGGTTCAGACACAAAAAGAGTCTATCGCTGCTTTGTGAAGAAATTACATTCTACTGTTGAAGGAGCCTTGAAGAAAAAAATGCCCCAAATTTACTTCCATATTATACCAAACTTAAAAATAAAACATGTTGAAAAGTGAGTTTATGAATATCAAATTTTTCAAAGAAGAACAAAAACCAATTATTCTTTTCACTTTTGTACCTTTGAGCAGAACTCAAAAATAACAACAGCAGAATGTTACCCTCGGTAGATTCAAGTTGTTCTTACAATTCCAGTTTCTAGTCACATTCTAGTTACATATCATAACATTCAGTTCTTTTTTAAAAAACGTTTTGTCTAGAAGAACTCTATTATTTGGCTGAGAGAACAATATCGTAAGTGGAACTGGTATTTTATTTTGGAAGGTGAACTTGTCATCATTAGAGAAAAGTTTATAATTGACTTCTCCATCCAGTTACCTACCTGCTAAGCTCCCAAAGGTAAGCTTCCTGCGGCCCACTTTCTCGACAAGCCAGACTCCCACAAGCGTGAAGATGAAATTTGTGAAGGCTGTCACTGAAGCCAGCCATATTGCAAGTCTATCATCTTCAACACCAGACATCTGCAGAATGGTTGCACTGTAGTACCTGTGAGCAAAGAATCAAACAATTGTTGCTGATAGTTATTCAAAGAAACAGAATTGTTCCTGGAGAAAAATACAGTAAACCTAAAAAGACCACGAGTAGCTACAGTAATGGCATCAAGTTAGCATGGGAATTCATGCAAAGTATTCAGAGGATCACAACACTGAGACTCTGTTCAGATAAATTTTGAACTTTGTATAATCAAGAAAAGATACTCAAGCAAGTGGGTAGAGGGTTGAAGGCTTTAAAAGTGAAAGGTACTCTGCAGCTAGGGACAGGGCAGCGAGTTGTTTCACTAAAACCTACTATACTAATCAAGGATAAGCTCCAAGTCCATGGAACAAATTAGAAGTCATCGTACATTGTAAATTTATGTACTTAAAAGAATAAGTAGACACTGCACACAATAAGGAAAGTGTGATATAATGGCAGATACCGGGTAGAAGGAACCTCTTTAAAGAGGAGTAAGAATGTGTCCACTTATTTGGCATTTTGTAAGGTGATGAGAAACTGACCTGATGTGCATGAGAATGGTTTTGTGTTTTCTAGAAAAGTATAATCTTTGGAGAGGTAACTCTCTAGCGCAATCTACACGATAAGGCTCTACAGACTCATTTTTGTTCTAAATGAATTCCCTGGAGACTAGCTCTAAAAAAAACCATAATGCCAATTTGTTGATGCATAATAGGAGATATCTCTGATACATTTAAAGAAGACAGGTTTCTTACAGGACATTTCTTTTCTGATGAAAATATCAGTAGCTAAATCAGAAGATTACTTTAAAGCTGTCCTTAAAACAAAGGAAGCAAAATACTCCTGGTGAGTCACCTAAGAAATGTGACAGAATTCAAATCCTGAAGACATTCTGAACCATGGCTTTGCCTAGCTTCTGAGCCATTCTAAAACATGTTAGCTTATCCAAATCAGATAGTGGGCATCCAAGCAATGTTCAGTCAAGCTGGATATGTCTGTAGCTACAATCTACAGTTTCCAAATATTTATCAACATTTTCATCGTATTTCAAAAATAAAAATCTGTTTTAAATACATTTATGTTTCAATGATTTATCAATGGCCTTCATTTACTAAATTAATGATGATCTTCTAACATAAAGCAATAACACCAACGCACTCATTCATCTTAATAAAAAGTGTTTTCCTTTTTAAAAGTAGTAAACCAAACTTATAAATTATTACGTAACATGAAAGATGTGTTTTACTGATCACACTAAAAATTATGCCAACCATTTTAAGATTCTGAATTCTGACAGCAGTTGTAAAAAAGAGAAATCCCCAGTGGAATTATTCCCATCATCATGAAAATTGTGAACATTTTACAGTCACAGTGTAAAGTGATAATAAAAGTTATGAAAATAATTCATTCCTTCTGAATAGGGTTTATAGTTTCCAAGCTCTATCATACACATTTTCAATTTCATAAAGACTTGCAGCAAGGTCAGACCTACATGTAACCACTGAGAAATAAACATGTAACAAATTTAAAAAGGCAGAAAACAGAAGTGCTGAGAGAAAAATTCAAGTATTTAAAGTCAAAGGAATTTGATACTTGCCATGTTATTTGATTACATTTCAGTCTTCTCGATATTTTCATAATATTTAAATAAATAAATATAGATCACACAAAATAATTCTTTTTTTTTTTTTAAGATTTTATTTATTTGAGAGGGAGAGAGCAAGTGCATGAGTGGGGGGAGGAGCAGAGGGGGAAGGAGAGGGATAAGCAGACTCTGTGCTGAACATGGAACCCGATGCAGGGATCTATCCCAGGGCCCTGAGATCATGACCTAAGCCGAAGGCAGATGCTTAACTGACTGAGCCACCCAGACGCCCCAACACACAAAATAGTTCTTGCAAACAGATCCATGAAAAGAAACTAAAGAAGACAGAGAAACTATTTTCATGTTTTCATTTTGATACAATAAAATCATGAAATTCCAAGTGTTAAATTAAGGGATAAAGAAGGGGAAATGATATCAAACAAAGTAAGTTGGTCAGTGTCAAAATTTTACTTAAAATGAAAATGTTCCCTAGGTATTAAAAAATTTTTTTTTATACTACTTAAGTTCTATTGGCAGAATACAACAGAAAACTGGCCTGGGAATCCAAAATCTGCATTCTAATGATATCTCTGTGGTAGGTTGGCCGGGTCAGGTAACATAATCGTTTGTTCACTTCATATTTATTTACTGAGTACCTACTGTATAAGCTATGTGAGTTACTCAGATCCCATAAATATATTATTAGACCTACTTGCTATCTTTAAGAAACTCACAGAATGAAATGGAAATAATTTTAAAATCACAGTGTATACAAGTCATAATGTGACATAAAGGATAGACCAAACAATTTTATTTGATGTGGTATGTTCCTTGATTTTCCAGGGAATTTAATGTTTCGTTTGAGTCTCAAAGAATTCATAGGGAATTGCCAGCCAGTGTGATCTGGGAGGACACTGGTGGTAGAGAAAATGAAATGTAGGAAGAATAAAAGCGCCAAACACTAAGCCAGACTCACAGAACATAAGTACTTTACCTTGGTTAACACAAGGTGCATAAGAGAGAGAAGTATGATATGGGCTGCAGCCAAGCTTCTGTTGTCGAGGGGCCTTGACTGCCAAGCTGTATGTGTGGGCTTTTTTCTCTAGACAATGGAAAATCATAAAATGGACTTTAAAGAGAAATAACATAATTAAATCTGTTTCATGAAAAGCTCACTCCAATGATAGCCAAGCAGGCAGCCTGGAGGCTGAATGAAACAAAGGTATAGTGTTTTGAAGTGTATTTCAGTTCATTACACTGGCAACAGGCACCTGTAAATTTTCTGCATTAATAGGAAGCAATGAGGGCAGGGTGCTGAAATTCACTGACGGCCTTTTATCTCCTTGCCAGCAAGCACTGCAACTTCAACATTACACTAAATCTTTTCCTGGATGGAGTACCTAGAGTTTGATCTTCGTTCTTCCTTTCTTGGAACACTGGTAAATGTACTTGTTTTTATTGTTGCCATAACAAATGACCACAGGGTTAGTGGCTTAAATCAACAAAAATATACTGTCTAACAGTTCTGTAAGTCAGAAATCTGACATGAATTTCACTGGGTGTCAAAAATCAAAGGTGTCAGGAGGCCATTCCTTTCTGGAAGCTCAAGGGAAAACAGGTTTCTTTGCCTTTCCTAGGCTTTAGAAGTCGCCATGTTCCCAGGCTCGGGGGTGGGGGGGTGGGAGGCCCTCCTCAACCTCAAGCCAGGGAAAGTGGTCAAGTGTCTATCATGTCACATCACTTGTCTTCTTCTACATTTAAGGACCTTTGTGAATACACTGGGGCAACTTGGATAATCCAGAATAATCTCCCCGTTTTAAGGTAAAATGATTAACAGATGTAATTCAATCTGCAACCTAACTTCCCTTTGCCATGTAATGTAACATGTTCATAGGTTGTGGGGACTAGGATATGTACATCTTTGGTGTGGAGGGGGAGGGCATTATTCTGCATATCACACACAATAAAAGTGTTAATAAGCAGTAAAATAAGCAAAAGGCCATCAATTAGAAGGAAAAGACAAGGACATTCAGTTAAAGGGCAATCGGTTCCAGAAAAATTCAGGCAATAACTGGATTCTCTTTCATAGGGCAGGGGATGACATATCTAGGGCAGAATAATTCATGAACCTAGTTTTTCAGTCAGGTCGTGGTGAAAAGATACACTGAATTTACATTTTAAAATGTGTGAATTCCAAGGTTTTTGTAAATGGTGCTACCGGCCAACCACTTACGGAATGGACTACCATTTGTATTTACAATCTTCTAAGCCTTTTGGTAGTAGTTTGAATGTTCAAGGGACTCGGTGTTTGTTTAAAAGTTGCACAAAGCATAAGAGTCTTTTTCATAAAAGAACAATATGAACAACCAAAAAAGGCTTTCTTTCCTTTTAGACTAAAGTAGGGATGCCTTCTCTTTTCAAAATCATTTTAGACTACCTATCAGACAAACTATCATCTTTTTCAAGGACTCCCTGGGCAACCTTTGGTCACCTCACACATACCAGCTCGTCCCCAGAGTGAAGCTGAAAGGCCTGAGGGCAGTGTGTTCTCACAGAAGACCAGCTTCACAGCTCTCTGTGGACATCTAAGAACAGAAACGGCTGGACTCTCTGTGCACTGTTATCTCAGAGATTATCTGAGACCCGTTGGATTTTAACTCTCAATAAAACAGAATAGTTCTAGAAAACATCTAGGCTTTGATAATGGCCATCTATCTTAATGAGGACTTTAAACTAGCAATAAAAGAATAAACGTGCACTTTACACGCTTAGCAAAATACATATATTATTTTCCTTTATGCTATACTTAAACAAAGCATTTTCTAAGGATTTCTGAAAAAAAAAATTTTTTTTTCCAACTCCTTAAAGCCATACCTGTCAGTTTCACTATTGCCAGGTCAACAGACTTAACAACGTAAAAAGTAAGTAATCAATAGTTGTTGAGTTTATTCAATTTATCTACCACCAAGTTTCAAAAGGGAATTAAGAATATTTATAATATAAAACACATGATAGAATCCTTAAAACAAAAAGACTGGTAAGAGAGGTAGATGATGAAGATGATTATATAAAAACTGTGGCCACAAAGTAACGACAGGCTAGCCCTAAGATTCCCGGTAGCCAAAGCAGAGTAGTAAACAATAGTTTTAACCGTCTGACAAAACAAAACATATCAGTTCATAATAAAGACAAACTTTTTCTGGTATGAAACTATAGAGACTTTAACTTCCCGAATAAAACAGATGTGGAATATACTCCTTCCAGCGCTGCAGACAGCTTCCAAATTCGGTTATCTGTGAGCCTTGTCTTACTCAACAAACTTGTGGGTTACTTTCACACTTGGGATAAAGACCAAGCTAAATGAGAAGATAATGAGAAGATGGGAACTTATGGAGCACAGCTGATTGACTGTAAGGCCTGGAAGATTCTTATTAGCTAAGTTATA